ACACACACACACACACACACACACACACACACACACACACACACACACACACACACACACGCTGGAGACTTACCTGTTCACCGGTGCGTCGATGGAAAACTCTCTCTCTCTCTCTCTCTCTCTCTCTCTCTCTCTCTCTCTCTCTCTCTGCGATACGTATCTCATCCGCGCCCGCAGCCATCTTGCCCGCCCGCCTGCCCGCTAACACGGCGGCCTCGTTCGAACGCCTGCTCATGCGCGCGCACCGCGCGTTTCCGTTTCTGCACCCACGCACGTGGGCCGGTACTCACTACGCGCGTACCCTCGCGCGGCCGGCTTTTTCCCACCTCACCCCGTGCCAACCCTCAACCCCGCGACCCCCCGCCATGCTTTTCTGTCACGTCGCCAGACCCGGCCGCGACGATTTTCGTCGCGCCAGCCGCGGCAATTCTCGTCGCCCTCCCCCCGCGCGCCCCCCCTCCGGCCACGCTTTTCTGTCATGTCGCCAGACCCTGCCGCAGCAATTTTCGTCGGCCTCACCCTGCGCCCCCCCCCAACCCCGCGCCCCCCCGCCACACTTTGTCCCAAATGGTTTCCCTTGGGCCCGCGACCGACCATGTCGCCAGATCCTTTGTTTGCTTTAGTATATTATATATGCATATTATATATATCGTCACAAACAGAACTGCCCGGTAAACCGTAGGCAGAGAGAGAGAAGAGGACAACAAACGAGGGGCTATGACAAACTGTTTCGGAGTTTTATATATATATATACTTATATACTTAACAGCTCTTGCTTCATTCCTTCTTTCCTTCTATCTTCCTTTCTTTCTTTTTTTTTTTCTTTTTTTTAATTGGAACATTTCTCGATTTATCTGTGTCATCCTTGCAACAGGGAACCATGCTAATCCTAATCTTCTCTGCATCGTTCCAATTTTAATGAATGTCCTGAAGGACATTTCTTCTTTATTTTTATCCCTTCTACTCTTTCCTTTTCCACCCACATTGCCCCACACTTAGGGTTTACAGTGCACAGTCCTACCTGGTGAGGGTGGGGCTGTACTCAGTGGTTGCACCTTGGAGATATTTCACCTTTGGATTATATATCAAGCATTTGTGTCCCGCTGCCCCGGCCTCTGTCTGGTGAGAGGCTGACATGTGGCGTAGGGGACACCGCCAGTTTTTTTCTCTGTCTATTCCTCGTTTTTCAAGACGAGCATTGTGCCTGATCGACATAGCTTGCCTCCAAGTGTCTTCTTCTTCTTCTTCTTCTTCTCCTCCTCCTCCTCCTCCTCCTTTTGTTCGTCTTCTTCTCCGTCACTCCCCTTTCCCCTTCTATCACTATTTCTTGTAGATGTCATGATCAAGGGATACTGGAATGCACCAATTGGCCTAGATCAGTTCGTACACCCCCCCTGGACTGAACTGTTGAAATACAGACCTGAGTTCGAACTCCGCTCCAGCACGAGCATAACTGTTAGTCTGTTACTATTGAGTAGTGTTAACTGTTGTACTTGCTAAAGCTTTGTGATGGTCGGTTTTCTTGCAAACCGTGGGAGGGTGATGACATGGTTACAAGGAGGGGCTCGATCCCTGAGCCATTTCTCTCACCTGACCTCAACCTCCTCCCTTCCCCTCCTCCTCTCTGCAAAAGGGGACTGGTGAAGAAGGCTAGTGATCACGTCGTAATACAAAAAAAAAAAAGAAAAAAAAAAGAAAGGAAATACAACCATCCTTGTGTTATCAATCATAGTGCAGAGTTGGATGCTGCACCAACATCAATGCATAACCCTACCGTCTTCACCCGAACAGAATGTACAGTAAGTATGCCTGCATTTGGGCCAAGTTTCAGTCTAGGTACAGGGGTAATGGCCGTACGTTCTTTTCGGGGGAAGGCGGTAGCCCTGTCCATTTCACCGAGGATGCGGTTGTGGATTAGAGTGCTGTCTAACAGACAGCACTCTACCAATGCGTAATGGGGAAGCTTGCCGAAATGAAATGAAACGTAAGCCTCATGCGGCACACCCAGCTGATGCAACTGAATAACAGACAGATCATGGGTTCAACTCCTGATTGGATCAGATGGGCACAAGCTCATACAACCATATTAAGAAATACCGCCCTTGGGAAAGAGAGTACGAAGACGACTCAGGAAAAGAGAGTACGAAGACGACTCAGGAAAAGAGAGTACGAAGACGACTCAGGAAAAGAGAGTACGAAGACGACTCAGGAAAAGAGAGTACGAAGACGACTCAGGAAAAGAGAGTACGAAGACGACTCCCCTGTGCAATGTAATGTAACACTCATGCTGTTCTCTTATACACATCTAGATGTGTATAAGCGACTCAGGAAAAGAGAGTACGAAGACGACTCAGGAAAAGAGAGTACGAAGACGACTCAGGAAAAGAGAGTACGAAGACGACTCCCCTGTGCAATGTAATGTAACACTCATGCTGTACACCCAGCTCATGCGACGGAACGGTACATAAAACCATATTAAGATATACCACCCTTGGAAAAGAGAGCATGAAGACGACTCGCCCTGTGCAATGTAATGTAACACTCATGCTGTACAGTGTACACCCAGCTCATGCAACGGAACGGTACATACTACATAGTACATACATGTACCTGTTAACAGCAAACAGATCATGGACTCAACTCCAGACCAGATCGGATGGATACAATGATATTAGGAGCTAACCCCCCCTTTGAAACAGAGAGCAAGAAAGTGACTCACCCTGTACAATGGTCCCCTGCAACCAGTATTCTAGTGGGCACATGGAAGAGAGCCAAGTGTCCAATCGTGTGTCCCTGCATGGTATATATTAATAAAGGTCACAATCACAGAGTAACAGAACTGCAGGTCAGTACTGACTCAGCAGGTGGGTATGTACTCCTATGTCGACAACACGGGGGTCCCCAATGCATTCGGACGCAATCATACATACCAGCAAGTTTATCGATGAGAAGGACTTACATGCCGATTGAAAACCAAGTTTCAAGCATCTTGTCCGCTCGCCATTTCATTGATCAACACCCCAAGATACACAGTAGTCACAAATAGGCTTTGGATCACTCAGCTGCAAGGACCGACCCAGTCCCGCTAGTATCAGAAAATGAGGAACCAGAAGAGTCGAAGTTCGACCACTATCAGGTACCAAATGGCACATGGCCTGACCAGTGCCGCTAGTATCTGTCACACTGACTCACACAGGCACATTACTTTAAATCAAGGGGCGGAGCGGTCGAGCGGTCTTTGGGACAAAAGTGCGGGCATCGACTTGATGTTTTAGTTTCAGTGTCATAAAAGAGCAGTGTTCGCTAAGATGACTTGTTGCATTCGGCTTGCTGCTAATCAAAATCACATTTCCAGAAACGGCTGCTCAGAGAAAACAGAACAATGGGCATCCATTAACTCCTAGATTTTCTCTACCCACCAGTGTTGCACACCCTGACCGTCGGCGATCCTTGACTGGTCGGCTGCCGACCCGCCGACTGGTCGTATGAACTGAACTACTGACAAAAGTGACCACAATTAACATAACCACAGTCAGAGTATCAAACAGAAAACCCCAAGAAGCATCAAACATTTCTGACAAATCCATAGTAAACCCGAACGGTTTTTTTGTAACTGTGAATCCAAAGGCCTAGTAAAGAGTCAACTCCATACCGTACATTTTCAGTCACATCCACTCCGGGATCCAAGGGAGTTGTTCCTTCAGGCTGTGCGGAGTAAGACCTGCTTAGGCTAAGCAGATACCTAGACCCCTTCCCTGGCTGGTCGGCACCTACCGGTCGGGGGTTGTCGGCACCCCACAAAAAATAAAAATAAAAATAATCTTTTTTTTTTGGGTCCAGAACCCCTAATAACCCCACAAACACTCCCATACCCGCCCCGCCAGGCGAAACCGGGCGACGAAAAAACCCAGCAAGGAATTTTTTTTTTTTTTTTTTGGAAGGTGGGGTTGTGCTGCGCTACCCTAGAAGACCCCGAATCCGCAATAAAAAATGAACTTGGGGGGG